ATCTGAACTACCCATTTCCTCCACCTTTGTTCTAGGCTGCTCCACCAGTTGCTGTTTTCTCAACAAATGGGACGAACCCTGTGCCACAAAGACCAATTTCAACCACTCTTTTCTTTCATAAATAACCTCCCTCATTAACTTTCTGTATTTACTTTTATGCAAGGCATTTGCCTCTCTCTTTCGCTTGTCAAATTTATCCTCATCACTCGAGCACTCTTTAATTTTATCCCACATCAAAGATATCACATCTTGTTTCTCTTCTGCATTATTTTCTATTTTTTGTAATTTTTGCACGAGAGCTTTTTTTAGCTTTTTATTATATTCCAGCATCTCTAGTGCCTGTCTCACAATTTCCACTTGCTCTTTTACTGGTTTAAAACTTTCCTGCTCACACTTTTGTAACATTACACGCTGCACCTCTGTGTCCATTCTCTCAGGAAGTTCAAACAAACAGCACACGTCTTTTTTTATTGTCACTGGAAAATTCTGGAACTTTTTTTCTTCTTTTTTTTTTCTGGAACTTTTTTCCTACACATTCATACTGTGGTCTTATATTTGACAAAGACACGAACACAAAATAAACAAACAAGATACTGACCACTTATTTCAGCATTCACGCGAAACACAGACGCCAGAAATATTCACAATGGTCACCCTTGAAAATGTTGTTGTTTTTTTTAAAACAAAATGTGTTGACTTCCCTTTTAATATCCTAGAAGACAGCAATATTTGTGAACCCGTGACCTCTCTATTCTCTCACCACGGATCATAAGTTATTTTATTCAATAAATCTAATTATTAGTTCTGATTTTATTTTAATCTATTCGGTGCGTGCGTCGTATTTAATTAATTAATGTCTCACCCAGCCTCGCGAACGCCCACCTACGGTCAATTGTGAGCGAACTTTAATTGATACTGTTTTAAAAGTTGACTGCCAGTCCAACAAGCTTACAGTAAACTTAGTCTAATGGAGTTACAGAGTTGAACAGCGGGACCATTGTCCTAGAACTTTCACTCCTCCCCCGGGAAATCCGTCGACTCCTGGTAGGCAGACTAACGTGCAGTTTTATCTCTGAGGCTGGTTTTATTTATCTTACTTTTATCTTATTCTTACAGTTCGACGTAAACTTCTCTATTTAAAACTATTTATTTTGGGAGTCAAACACACTGAGCAAAAATTTGCCTATTTTAAGCCCAATTTACAGATTTCGTAATAAAACGGGCTCTGCTTACCTCCTTCTGTGAATGACGTGTCGTAGATCAGTATGCAAGACTCAGTAGGTACTATTTCTCACATCTCGGTGGGACCTCCAAATTTGTTGTGTTTTTCACCTTATTTCTCCACCCGAGTCTGTAGTTACCGTTTCAATCCTGCAGGGGTCAGTCAAATCATGCACATCAGATACGACAAACGCACCTTCAAATTTGTGAATATTTAATAAGTAAAGAAACTCAGAAGTCAATAAAGTAGTCACAGATTCACAAGCATAATCAGTGAATTAGTTAAATGCAGTCGTTATTTTAACATATTAAAAGTTGGATGCATCCATTCTACACTATACAATACAACCTTAAAAGGAGATTGAAGTCGTTCTTCTCTGCTCCATCTGGCTGCTGGCTGCTCACTCTTCACTTCTCCCCCCTCTGCTCACACTGTTTCGAGCAGAAACCTGCACTCCCTTTGTCTCAGAAAAACAGGGCGTTCCTTCACACAGAAAAACTAACTTTTCAGCGCGCTCTGAGTCTGCCTGCGATGGGATTGGTCAGTTTCCAATCCAATCAGAAGTGGTTTACATCGTGTTACATTATGTAAACAGGAAATGAAATCAATCTGTGGGAGCCTCTTCAAAGTAAAACAGGAAGTGGGTCAATTTCAGAATAAAATAAGAATTGGGAGTCAGATTCAAAAAGGAACAAAATATTATTCCACAACATTACCTCCAACAAAAGTAGTAAAATGTAAAAGAAAAACAATAATAAGATCTAAGATATAAACTAAGAAAAACGTTAATAAAAATACGCTAAGCAAGAGTAGCATAAAAACAATATGCCTAAAGCAGCACGAACATGAGTCTGTTTGAGCAGATGAGAACGAATGAACACAGCAACATAAAATAGATTAGCAGCAACATGATGTGATTTGTTCACAGTGATTATTCTGGTTAGAGATTAATGAGTCTAACAACCCCATGGTAGAAGCTGTTCCTCAGTTTATTAGTTCTACACTTAATGCTCCTTAACTTCCTTCCTGAGGGGAGCGGGGCAAAAAGTGTGTGTGCTGGGTGAGTGGGGTCCTTCATAATACAGGTGGCCCTCTTCCTGCATCTGTCTGTAATGGTGGGGAGGCTGACTCCAACAGACTTCTGTGCAGCCTTCACCACTCTCTGCAAAGCTTTTCTGCAGCTGTGTAGCCTCCATGCCACACATTGATGCTGGAGGACAGGATGCTCTCCACTGCACATCTATAGAAAGAGGTGAAGACTGTGCTTCCCAGACCAGCTTGCCTCAGCTGCCTGAGGAAGTAGTCTATGATGAGCTTTCTTGATCAGGCTGGTAATGTCGTTGCTTCAGCTGAGGTAGTCCTTCAATTGCACACCCAAGTACTTGTAGCTGGAGACCACTTCCACCGCAAATCCTCCTATGTTCGGGGGGGGGGGGGGGGGGGGGAGGGTATGTGTGTTTGTTCTGTCTGAAGTCCACAACCATCTCCTTTGTCTTCTTCACATTGATGTGAAGGTTGAGGTTGTACTTGGGCGGCTGTGGCTGAGTGGTTAGAGCAGTCATCCTCCAATGCGAGAGTTGGGGGTTCGAATCCAACAGCAGTCACATGCCAAAGTGTCCCTGGGCAAGACACTGAACCCCTCATTGTCTCTGATGTGTGTCCCATCGGTGTATGAATGTGATAAAGCTCTGATTAGTCTCTTTAGAATGATTTGTTCAATTAGGTTTGTAGAGATCTAGTAGAGTGCTGTATGAATGGGTAAATGAGGACACAGATTGTGTTGTAAAGCGCTTTGAGTATAGTATCTCGCTAAGATAGAAAGGTGCTATATAAGTACAGTCCATTTACTTCTTGCACCAGCTCTACCCGTTTTCCACCTCCTGCCTGTAGCTGGGCTCATTGTTGTTTGTGATGCATCCAACCACCACTGTATAATCTGCAAACTTTACAATATGACAGCCTGGATGGGTAGGTGCACAGTCATACGTGAGCAGAGTGAACAGGAGAGGGCTCATCACGCAGCCCTGAGGGAAGCCAGTACTGAGGGTTATGGTAGAGGAGGAGAAGTTGTGGATCCTCACGGACTGCAGTCTGTTTGTCAAGATGTCTAGGACTTAGTTGCAAATGGAGGGGTTTAGTCCTAGTGTGAGTAGTTTGTCCATCATTGTTTGGGGGATCATGGTATTGAAGGCAGACATGAAGTCCACAAAGAGCATGTGGACATAGGAGTCTTTCTGCTAGCAGTGTGGACCACAGAGGAAATGGCGTCTTCTGTAGATCGATTCTTGTGGTATACATACTGGTGAGGGTCCTTGATGGTTGTTTTGATGTGGGTTATGACCAGTTTTTTGAAGCATTTAGCAACTGTCAGTGTGAGGGCTACTGGCCAGAAGTCATTCAGACCAGTCACTTTCGAGCTCTTTGGGACTGGGATAATGGTTGCGGCATTCAGGCAGGTGGGAACTGTTGCCAGGGTAAGTGAAGAGTTAAAGATGTCGGCCAGCACCTCACAGAGCTGATCAGCAAATTCAGCACATTCTCTGGGATGTTGTCTGGGCCGGTTTATTTGTGAGGACTAATCCTCCGGAAAGTACTCCTCACTTCGGCTGATGTCACGCTGAGAAGCTCTTCTTCCAGTGATGAGCTGAGTCTGGTGCTGGGTGTAATGAATGAGGTTGGATCAGAACCACAAGAATCCAGAGCGGTTAAAAAGTTTTTATTAATAAATAAAGAGCTGCCACTCTCGGCTGGTGTTGGTAGACAAGGAGCTGGAGCTGGGTCTTGTAATGTTCAATGGGCCGGAGGCAGAGCGCTGAACAGCGCGGAAACATCACCGTGGCAGTGTACGTCGGTGGTCTTGGGTGGGCGATCCAGAGGCAGAGTCATGGGCAGAAACAAGGTTGGCAACAGGATCTGATAAAGGTGACAGTACCAAGGAGCAAGGCAAAACTCAGAGTCCAAAAACAAGCAGATAAAGGCAGCAAAAAGGCAGATGAGCAGAGTTACAAAAAGGCAAGACAAAAATCAGAGGTCGAGGGGCAGGCAGGAGACTGTGAACAGGATCAGGATACAAGAAAGAAACGCTGGAAGACTTCTCACCAAAGGCTTTTGAGATTCTGGCACCAGACTGTGAGGGAGAGAAGGTTTTAAGCACCAGAGCACAGGTGTTTCCCATGAACACTAACAAGCTGCAGTGAGAGGAGGTGTGACAGACAGAAAGCTGCAGATAGGAAGCAGAGCTGACAGAAACCAAATGAACATAAAGAAAACTAGAACCCAAGCAGTGAAAAGAATGTTTTAGCAAAGATTAAAGTGTGCATCGTGACAGCTGGGTGGTCTGTTTGGGTCTTCAAAGCGTGCGTAGGACTTGTTGAGGGCATCAGGCAGTGATGGGTCTCTAGGGCATTGTTCACTTCTTCCTTAATAATCTGTTATACACTTAATACCCCCTCCACATACTCTGTGGGTCTTGTGAGGTGAAATGACCATATACTGTACAATATGAATTGAACATATACAATTCAATTCAATTTATTTATATAGTGCCAATTCACAACAACTTGTCTCAGGGCACTGTACAGAAACATTCACATACATAGAAAAGCCAATTAGCAAAGTTCTCTAAGGAAGCCAGCAGACTCATTGTTCTTCACTTATATACCAAAAACCTTATGGATTATGGAATAAAGCTGAATGAAATTTTGCAATTTCTCTTCAAGAATTATATCTATGCTTGATTCAGTGTCTTAATATGTCTATTGTTCCTCTGTTGTTGCAGGATATGGAGAGATCTATCCAGTTACCTTGACTGGTAAGGTGGTGTGTGTCATCTATGCCATGGTGGGGATTCCACTCATGCTTCTCGTCATGCTTGATGTGGGGGATTTTCTTGCTTTGGCGATGTCCAGGGCCTACAGCGAATTTCATAAACTCTCTAAATCTTTCCGCTCCAATACCTGGTTACCATGGAAGGCTCAGAAAAGAGAGGTGGATTCAGATGTCCACACCCTGAAGGATAGTATCTTTGTTTATGGCCATGACATTGTCATCTGTAAACCCCTAGACATCCGACATGTGATGGACAGCCAGGCAGATGTTCAGAACAAATCCATTCGTCTCCAAAACAACAAGGACATCTTCGAAAAGATTATTGTAAAGGAGAATTTAATAAGGAAAGGCCCACTACATAGGTCTCTCTCCTGTCCAGAACTTGACCTCCTGCCATCACCACCTACTGGATATGTCATATGGGACTTCTCAGGGTTAGGGGATGAAATGGAAATGTTGGATGTACCCTTTGTACTGATTATTTTTGTTGTAACTGTATACATTTTCTTAGGTGGTTTGATTTTACCATTGTGGGAAATGAAAATCAAGGGATTTGACTCCTATTACTTTTGCTTCATCACACTTACTACCATTGGATTTGGAGACATTATACCCAAAACACAACAATTCTTTATACTCACCTGGCTTTTTACTATTATAGGCATGACCATCATGTCAATGGCTTTCAAACTTAGTCAAACAAGAATTGTAAGTTTCTACCGTAAGTGCATTAAGTTCATTAGCAGGGGAAATGCTGAGAAATTTGAAAATGAAGTGTAAGGCTAAATCATTTGATAATTTTCTGCATCATGTGCAGAGCCTCAACAAGAGCCTTTGATAACTTGATCAATTAATTATTTGTTCTGACTATGTTGATGAAAGCATGAGCAAAATAAGTGTGTATGCAGAACTTTTATCCAGGTAATGAAAGTTATATTCATAAGGAATTATGTCCAGAAATTTAAAGCTTACATTTTAGTTTTATCTTAACAAGGAACACTGTAGCTTTCCAGACAGTGGGGTTTGATAATTCTCTGAACAGTTTGTTCAGCAGATTTACAATGTAGAGGCATTCCACTTGCCCAAAATCAGTAGATAATACTAAGAATAAGTAGGTCTAGAGCAGGGGTGGGCAAACTTTCGGACTCGCGGGCCACACTGAGTTCTAAATTTGGAGCAAAGGGCCAGGCCAGGAAAAGATGGATGGAGTGTTTGTGTGATGTTATACCCCAGCGCATAACAGCCATCGGGACGCTGTTAATTATGGGTGATTCCACCTTATGCACCACTCAAGCAGCCACTAAGTCAGGATTAAATGATAGAACAGTGATTTTATTTACAACAGTGAAATTATTGACTTTGTGGAGTCTTACCAACTTCAGGCCAAAACAACAAACAAAACAAACCACTGTATTTTCTCTAAAAAAGTTAAATCTGGTCCTCTGGACACTCAAAAAAACAAAACAAAGCAAAACAACAAAAAAATGTAGAAACGTTTCGTCTCTCATCCAAGAGACTTCCTCAGTCTGAGGTGCTGTATTCAGCTCAGTCTCTTAAATAGCACCTTCTCAGAGACTGAGCTGAATATAGCACCTCAGACTGAGGAAGTCTCTCGGATGAGAGACGAAACGTTTC